CCAGGTACGATTGATTTTCTTTTCGCCGTCCGTAATGTCATGTATTCGCACATAAAACTGCTCCATCTGCTGCGTGTACTGCGCCACACATGAAAATTGTCGGTGCCAATGAATAATTTCCTGCGTGATGTAGGTCGAATGTACGGGCTCGAAACGGGTAAGTAGTCCGTTACGAAACTGTTTCCACGTGGCTTCGCACTGTAGATGCTGACTATTGTTGAAGATCCATTTGAGAGACGGGCCGCACATGAGCGTCGCTGCGAACTGAACCACTTTGGTGTCCTGAGTCGTCCTTGACCATCCGATCGCCGCAAAATGAATTCTGATGGCTCCGATCCATCGACGAACGTAACAAGATTTGTCGCTGGGATCGAGCGAGAATGAACCTGTGCAGCCCGTACTGGACAAGGTGAGGGAACTCTACGCGAAATTGGCGATTGCTGGCATCACGTACCCTGAGCAGACTAAGTGTCTCAAGATGCTCAGCCCGAGTCTTGGCTGCAATTTATAAGCGGACTCAGCCTGCCACAAAACCAAAGTCAGTGGACATTGGAGTGGATTCGCACCAAGATTATAGAAGAAGATTTTCGTCGCTATACACTGCTCGGAGGTGATGACAGCACCAACGGCTATGCCATGCAAGGGACATGGAGGGATCGAGGGCGTGGCAATCGCGGTCGCTCTTACTGCAACCAAGGTGGTTGCGGGACCTGGAACCAGCGGGGGCGTGGTGGCGCTGGTGCAAGAGGAAGAGGTGGTCACTCCAACAATGACAACAGTGAACCACGCTTGAGGGGAGAGTGCTGGTATTGCAAGGAAGAAGGGCATCCATGGTTTCGCTGCTCTACAAAGCCCGACTGGTGGACCCCTTGGAACCAATCGCAAAAGAGGATTGGAGGAAAGCAACCACATGGAGGTGCCAACATGGTAGCTGATCCTGTTGAAGAAACCTCCAAGGATGACAAAGGAATGGGAAATGAGGAGAGGAATGCTGGACAGTTCTACCATGTGTGTGACAAAGATGACAGTGGCACAGCTGTTGCAAGGGCTGGAGAGGAATTGCACCCGCTTGACATGTGGGTCATGGACTCTGGTGCTGCATGGACAATGACACCACGCAAGGACTTGCTGGATGCTGTGCGAGCGCCTCCAATCTCTGAAGTGCGCTCAGCATCCGGGCATGCAATCTCTGATGTGCGCTCAGCATCCGGGCATCCAAGTATCAAGAGACTGGAATCTGAGGCAGAGGGATGGAAGTCAAGTGCGAGGAGGACTTCCTTCACCTTGTTGTGCCACTCACGAGGAGCCTGCTTGAGGCCATACACTGGGCGCTTCAGCTTCCACACTGTGTTGGCAGGGTAAGTGCCAGGAAACCCCGGTGGGCGTTCCATGTGAACATCCTCCTTGAGCTGGCCTTGGAGAAAGGCGGAGGAGGCGTCCATGGACTTGATCTCGAAGTTGCCGCGAGCGGCTATATCAAGAAGAGCGCGCACAGTCGGGAGCTTGGCCGTGGGCGAGAATGTTTCGAAGAAGTCGAGATACTCCTTCTGGGTGAAACCCTTCGCCACGTATCGTGCCTTGAACAGTGGAGCTTCGCCTGGGAGTTGTTTGACTCGGAACATCCATTTTCCGCCGACGATGTTGACACGGGAAGGGGGAACAACATCGTCAAAGCTGTTGTTGCGAATGAACGCCTCGTTCTCCACATCCATTGCTGCCTTCCACTCCTTCTTATAAGGCCCCGAGAGAGCTTCCTCGTTTGTGCGAGGAGTCGGAATGGTCGGGTTCTCGGTGAAGTTGAGGGAAGGGCAGTCAGTAATGTCCGGGAAGATGTGAGAGAGAAATTGGCAGACCGCGTGAAGGTCAAACAGCTCCTCATGCCTGTCCTCCAGAAGTGCACGGGGGGGAATACGGATGGAGGGGACATCACCCCCGGCAGGAGGAGGCGGGGTGACCAAACACCGGATGGAGAAGGCGGCTGGTCCCCAGGCGAGAGGCGGAGCCGGTCCCTTGGAACGAGTGCGACTAGAGATCGGAGACGAAGGCGGCTGCGGTGGAACCGGAGGGACTGGGCGCCTCCGATAGGAGACTGGTGAGCCGGGCTCGACGCGCGGGGAAGGCGGAGCAGGAGGAGGTGCCGCTGCGGAGGATACTGGGGAGGCCGGGTGAGACACGCCGGACGGAGAAGGCCCCGGAGAAGGGGCAGCGGCCGGAGGTGGGGCATCGAAGTCTGCCCAAACAAGCGTCGGGGGAGGTGGAGGAGGCTCGCCCGTGGTCGCAGAGTGGAATGGGCGTGTCTCATCGAAGACGACATCACGGCTGCGAATCAGCTGTCTGGTGATTGGGTTGAGGAATAAGTAGTCTGGGGAGTCGGAGTTGTGCCCCAGGTACATGCAGGTCTGGGTTTTGGGACCAAGCTTGCCACCTTGCTTCCTGCGCGTGTGGGGGCTTAGCAACACATACGCGGTACACCCCCGGACGCGTAGAGAGCGGGCGGAAGGCGTGACCCCAAGCCAGAGAGCAGTAGGTGTGGTGTCGGGCCGGTGGGGATGCGGATAAAGATTGTAGTGGTGCTGGCAGCTTGCGCTTGGGAGAGGGCGGCGAGAGGTGCAGGTGAATGCAGCGTGTAGAGCTTGCTGCTGTTGAGTGTGAAGCGTGCTAGGAGCTTGTTGGACTTAGGGTCGAAGAGGTCACAGTGATCCGAGTGTGCTGGGAAGATCGTGGTGACGCCTGCCCGTTGGAGCTCGTGTTGGGCCACGAGATTGTGGCGTAGTGTGGGAACACACATGCCGGTGACACTGCCCGAAGGAAAAGCTGGGCACGGAACTGTGGAGGAGCCCTTGGCGTGTGTTGTGAAACTGGAGTCTGCTCCAAGTAGACGGATTGGTGTCTCGTATGGCTTGAAGGAGTGTTCTTCCTTGAGAACCGTGTGAGTGGCCCCACTGTCGAGGGTGAACTCTATTGTGGCTGAGGTGCTTTGTGAGCCAGGATACTGCGAAATCGTCTCATTAATCATGGCAGTGCCAGGGAACAACATGTTGAGGCGCACATCAGCAGGTGCAGCCACAGCAGCCTGCACGGATTCCTGCGCTTCGACTTGATTGACTTGGCGAGGAACACGATTGACCATCCAGCTTGGCGGCTTGGAGGCGGTCCCATTGACGGCATACCACTCGTCATCCTTTTTCTTGAAGCAGAAGGCAAGGGCGTGGTTGGTGCCGCCACACACCTGGCCAGCACGAGGGCCGCACTTGATGATGTAGGGACACGGGGGGAAGCGGTTGCGCTGGAATGGCACCGAAGCGGCATAGGCTTGAGGCACGGGAGCGCGGATTGCATTGGCCTTGGCTTGAGCGCTGTTGTCCTTTTCGGCAGAAAGGAGCGCGGGTGAGACCTTGGCAAATGTGAGGTCTGCAGGAGCAAGGCCCAAGAGCATCTTGCGTGTGACTTCGTATGCCGGAGTGAGGCCGACTAGGAGAGCGGCTGCAGGGGCTTGCTCGGGGAAGACTATCCCCAACTGTTTGAGTTCACCATGAATGGACTGCACCTTGGTGACATAGTCCGCCATGCCTGGCGAGTCCTCGAGCCGCACTTGGAACATGTTGGGGATGAGTATAGCAACTCCCACTGCAGTCTTGTTCAGGAAGCGATCCTCGAGGTAGAGCCAAATGGCGTTGGCAGACGGGTAGTTGTGGTAGGTTTCGACGAGTTCGGGAGGAGTGGTGCCCATGAAGACACTAATGACCACACCATCGGCCTTCTCCCAATTCTTGTACTTGAGCAGTGCAGCAGCATAAACTGCTTCGGCGGCGGCATTAGCTGGATCGGCGGACCTCTCGGGTTTAGGAGGCTCTTTGCCGTCACCGATGTTGAGAAGGACGTCGGTGAGCTCGAGCCCCTTCACCTCGCGACTGAGGAGGTGCTTGTCGATACCATAGCACCAAGCCTTGTAGTTGGAGCATGTGCCGTCCGGCTCGAGACGAAGGAGCGGGATCGGGTTGGCGAGTGAAGTGGTTGAGTAAGCCATTGTCGGTGTGCAGCGCGGCACTTCTGGAAATTGGTCGATGAGAATTGCTGAAAATCACTCTGACGGCTTTATCAAAATGCCGCTAAGTAGGAAATGGCGTCGGCGAAAATTCTTTAAAACGCCGACTTGAAACTGAATCTGAGCCTTTGTCTAACCCCGGACCCACACACCCCCCCACACACCCCCAGGCCCTGTCCCGCAGCTACACAGCTCCGCAACCAGCTTCGCAACCAGCTTTGCAACCAGCTCCGCAACCAGCTCCGCTCCGCTTCAACCTGTGTACCTGCTCTTGCTTGACGCGAGACGTTCGTGGAGGCGATTTCGCGAGGGGAGTTCGCCTATTCTGGCGGGGTCTGAGGGGAAACTCGAGAACGAGTTTTAAGAGATGGTCGAAATTGAGATTCGACCAAGGAGAACCGAGGAGGAAATCGACGACGAGAAGCGTGAACGCTTCAGAGATGAGAAATTCAATGAGGTCGAGCGCGAAGGTGGTCGACGATGAGAGGCGCGACTGCAGAGTGGAGCACATCGAAATTCCGACGACTCGAAACGAATGTCGCGACGATGAAGTGCGCGTAGCGTGGGCACGTTGAGATTAGGACCTTGATCCGCGTGTGCAGATAGGTCGCTCTGATACCATGTAAGAAATAGAGTTGAAATGATTAATTAGGTAAGAAGCCCAAGGCTTTATAAGTACATGGCAAGATGAGAGAGAATGGATGAAGGGGGAATTGGAGGGAATCCCCATTGGGATCTCCGGAATCTCCAATTGGGTAATTGGAGATTGGGGGGATCACAATTGGGTGAGGTTGGGATTTGTGAGTACACCCCAACCCACTAGAACATTCACGACCTAAAATAGGATATAAAAGTACAAATACAAAAGTGGTATTTGCAGTCTATTTCTAACAAGCCCTGCTGCATCATGCCTGATACCCTGCAGTTCTCAGGGTATTTGCCAACGTAGGCGTACAGACATGGGTATGCCTTTTGGTAGCACCCATTTGCATCCGCAACGAAGAAGGATCGAAGGGGGCTGCTGCTGTTGCGAGAGGCAGCGTGGCTTAGGGCTAGTAGGTGTGGAGAGAACAAGAACAAGTTTGGTGCTAGCCTATGACGTGTGCAAATATGATACACGTGTACAGGCGCCGGAGTGCAGCACTAGGTGTGTGACATCTGATAAACGGACTAGCTTTCCGGAGTCCCACATCAGAGGCCTAAGAACTATACGCCTCCTGGAACACCCTCGCCTTCTCCGAGGCAGAGGCCCAGTCTGGTAGAAACGGGAGAACCGCCACAAATGCGTGTCTTGGCTCCTACATGATGTTCTTCAGTGAGATCAGCATCATTCGTGCCTGTCACCGCACTGGTGCAAACACGTGCGTGCCGAAGCTGTACACCATGATGCAAAAAACTAAGCCATCGAGTTCTGGAATCGACATCCGCACGAGCACTGCATCCCAGCGGCGGTAAGAAGCATTGGCTGTTGTCAATGATAATGATATGCGGAAATGCGTCAACGTTCATCCTAATGTACTACACACCTGGGCGGATGCGAACCAGTCGCCAGTTTGTAGGGTGCTTACATGGTGTTTGGTGCATCAAGGGGTGCTCGAAAATCGATTAGATTACCGTATTCCACGAGGAGAAGTCGAAGGTCGAACTGAGCAGGTCCTGGGAGTCGCAGCTCGTCAAGGTCGTGGTGGCGAGATTAACAAGGTGGTAGTTCGCAATGAGATCTGCAAACGTGGACAGCCAAACCAACACGAATGGGATAGGGTCAAGGGGCTCCAGTCCAAGCACGATGCCGGGAAGCCCTCCATCTCATGCTGCCGAGGAATGCGTTGAAGCATGCTAGCAGCTCGTACGCACCTAACACCGTCCTTTTATCCGCCACTATGGAGGCGTGGATTTGTAGGACAGCAAATGCGATTGCCGGATTTTCGAAATGAAATGGCCCTGCAATATGTCCTGGGGCGGTATGCATCGCGCCTGGCCCTGGGATTACGATCCATTATTCCTGAAGTGAACCTAAGGGAAGACACTAACGCAATTTGTATTCACTCAATTGCTGCTGCGTGCAGTCCATGCACGCCCACCATAGTTTAACACCAGTGTGCGTGTGTGTGCAACCCGATATGCCAGAGAGGCCAAGGACAAAGATACGGGTGGGGGGTCAGCATGCTGATTGGTGGGTATAACATGTGACAGTTGTGCCTCTCATGCATGCCATTTCTCACATGTCTCGCTTGGGCGGATCTTCTATCCAATGCTGTGCCATTGGGCGGGGGTTTTCGGTAGGGCACCTGTGTGCTCGTTTGCACTCCCCGTATGCAGCCAGTTACAACATCCACCCCTTCGCCCACCTGTCGTGATTTGCTGTCACGTATGTTGCGACTATGCCGGCGGAAACATCTACATGTCGCTGCCACGTTGATACGGCTTTAGAGCACGCTTTAACATGACAGGTTGCATTCGTGAAACACAAACACCTCTTACATAGCACTGTACCCAAGAGCTTCCTACAATGTTATGGCACATTGTCAGACAAGTAAACAACAAAGTTGGCCCCCCTGTGCGATTACGCCAATCAACATAGCCCCATGCCACACTATGCAGAAACAGCTGCAGACCCAAGGGTCGATGCGTCTTTCAGGGTGCTCACTCGACCGCCCTACTAGCAACCTCCATGACATATTCGGCAAGGCCCACAATGCCTGACATGACAGACTCGAACGCCTCGAGCGTCAAGGGCACGTCCTAGTTGTCGGTGTCCATGTCCTACGCTGCGTAATTGTGGACATGGTGGCTCTTGGTCGGAGTGTGCGCGAGGCGGTCTATGAGGGCGGGGCTGCCCAGTTGCATGTGCTCCAACAGCTGCCATGGCTCCATCTTTGTGACTTGGGCAAAGCATGGGAACAAATCTCCAGCCCTTCGGAGGACCCAGCAATATGTTAGAATATACCATGCTATGCTAGTTGTGTATATTGTGTTTACATCCCTAGTTGGGTGTACACCTGTGTTGGGGTGTCAATCCAACCCAATTGTGGTTGGTGCCCCCAAACACAAGGACCACAATTGTGGGGGCACCACAAGTGGGTTGGCTAAACCACTGGTGGTACACCACACTTGGACCACCTCCAACTGGTGGTCAACCACATTTGGAAGGATCCTCCTTCCCTTGTGATTGGTCCTAACCCCCCTTTCCCTTCCAACCTTCCCTTCCTAGCTCATCTCTCTCTTCCTATGTAATGCCTTTGCTTCATCAATAAACTGAACCTTTCTGTTTCTAACATGGTATAGAGCAATAATGGCTCACGCCAACTTTTAAATCCCGATCCTTCCCCACGCTTCCGCCCCGTCCCCTTCCGACGTGCACCTCATTGCCGTCCCCTCCATCGCCGCTGCTAGACTCCTAGCCGCCGCCTCTCAACTAGTTTTCTGTTGGGTGGATTTTCAAAAACCCCCAATGCGCCAAACGCCATAGCTCGCTCGATAGTTGACACAATTGAGTGATTTGACTTGCAAAAGAACGCTCTTGGTGTCAGCTACAACGTCGTAAAATTTCGAACTGTTTCATCGCTTGGATTGTCAGATATCGCTTTCCGAAGTTTGCACACTTTCCTGGATGTGATCACGAAGTGCTACTGAAATTTCTACCAAGTCCTATTTTCATCAGCTAACTGCCATCTTTCCCCATCTTTTGCCTCCTCACCTGCACCTGCTCATCGCCGCCTTACCACTGCTGCAGCCATAGCAGCAGCAGCAGAAGCAGCAGCAGACTCAGCAGCAGCAGCACCAGCAGCAGTAGCAGCAGCAGCAGCAGCAGCTGAAGGAGCAGCAGCAGCAGCAGCAGCAGCAACAGCGGCAGCAGCAGCAGTGGCAGCAGCAGCAGCGTCAGCAGCAGCAGCAGCAACAGCAGCAGCAGCAGCAGCAGAAGGAGCAGCAGCAGCAGCAGCAGCAGTGGCAGCAGAAGGAGCAGCAGCAGCAGCAGCAGCAGCAGCAGCAGCAGCAGCAGCAGCAGCAGCAGCAGCAGTATCTACAGCCATCCCCATCCTCCCCTCCTCTTTGAGCCGCCGCGGGTCCACCCGCCGCCGCTCCCTCCCGGCCACCGCGGGTCCACCCGCCGTCGCCTTCCTCCCACTCCGTGTCACCAATGGCATCCTTTCCCCCTCCCGTCGACGTCTCGACCCTCGATCATCTCGTGCGCGCTGCCGACAACTCAGCAACCAACTGGTATTCATTCGTCGGCAGCCTCCACCGCGTCCTCGGCAGTGCTTATGTCCTGCCGTTCCGCCTCCTGGACATCATGCTTGGTCTCCCAGAGGGTGACCTTGGGGACCCGCCGCCTCACCCTGGCGATCCCCCCCCTCTCATTCCCCATCCCGGCGAGGAACCTCCGCCCCCCATGGTACCCGTTGGCACCAGCACTCGCGCTGCCACCGCTGAAGTTGAGCAGCTCTTCCTTACTCAGCGTCGTGAGTTCCTCGTGCTCCATACTGATTACCTGATCGCGTTGGAGGAACACGAGCGGTCGGCAACCCTCCGCACCCAGCATGCCGCTACCGCCGCCGCTTATGCCGCTGACTCTGCGCGATTTGCTGAGCGTCGTCGCGCCTGGCTCGAGGCGGACAGCCGTGCTACTGGTGCCCTTCTCCTTGCCATCCCGTCTGCGCTCATGCGCAACTTCCAGGCACGTCGCATCGGCTCCCGCCAGATCTGGCTCGAGCTTGAGGCAATGTTCGAACGCACCGACTTCGATGCTGTCGGACCGCTCTTCAAGGAATACTTCAGCATCACGATCGAACACAGTGCTGGCGCCGTTGACTACACCAGCCGTCTCCTGGACCTTGCCTCCCGCCTTGAGGCTCGCCAGACTACTCTCCCCCCCAACCTTCAGATCTACCGTCTCCTCGAAGGCCTCTCCCCTCAATATGAAGTGCGCGTCATCGCCTTCACTGAGGCTCAGCCCCGCGCCTCCCTTGACACTGTGGTCCAATGGATCATTGACGCTGAGGCCCGCCTTCTCTCAACCCCCCCCTCCGGCCTGAACTCCACCGAGTCCCAAAACCCCCAGCTTGCAGTCACACAGCCGCGTCGTGGCGGGCGCCCACGTGGCGGCCGCACCAACCCTCAGGGAGGGGGTGGAGGTGGCGGTTGTGGGGGCAGCGGAGCCGGCGGCGGTGGTGGCGGGGTCGAGGGTGGCAGCAGTGGTGGTGGTGGAGGCAGTGGTGGCTCATCTGGTAGCCGTGGTGGCCGCCCTGGCACTCTCCCCCCATGTTCCTATCTTCGCCGTTTTGGTCCCAGGGCGGGTGAGCGCTGCACCCAAACCAACCATCCCCCCGCGACCTGCTTCAAGGCGTATGATGACGCCTGGTTCGAGCGCGGCAACACTGGCACACCCCCACGCTGGTCTGCCATGGATCCCCGCCCCTCTCTCCAGGATGTCAAAACTCTTCCGTCTTTTCTCCCCTCTCATCTTCAGCTCTCCTCCTCCTCCTCCTCCTCTGTCGCTGACCCCATAACTCCCCAGGAGCTGCAGCAGTTTCGCCGCTTCCAGCAGCTGCAGCTGCTGCAGCAGCAGCAGCAGTGGGGCTCTGGTGGTCAGGCTGCAGCCGCAGCTGCAGGAGCCGCAGCCGCAGCATCTGCATGGCAGCAGCAGCAGCTTGGCTTTGGCACCGCCGCCATGGCTGCCACAGCCACACCAGGTCCTCCTGGCTTTCCCCTCTGGGGCTCTCCTTCCCCTAGTGCTCCCGCCTCCCACTCCAGCTTTCTAGGCGAGCTCATGCGTTCTTCCCCTGCTTCCACTTCCATGTATCCCTCTGTTTTTAATGCCAGTGATTTCCAGTACCCCGTGTCTTCAGCTCCCTCCTCGCTCACGATTGACTTTGTTCTCGATAGTGGTGCCACTGAAACTGCCCTCAAAGACGCCGGCACCCTCACCTCCCTCCCTTTCCCCACCAACGTTCATGGTGCTGATTCCAGCTTCTCCATCCCTTGCACTCATCTCTCCACCCTCCCCTGCCCCCCCTTCCCCTCCGGAGTGGTCACTGGTCTCCACATTCCCTCCCTTCGTCATAACCTGCTCTCCATTCGTGAACTCCAACAGGTTGGCATCACTACCCTCTTCCCCGCCTCTGCCACCTACTGTGACCTCCTCCACGGCCCCACTCGCCGCCTCCTTCATCGCCTCCCACTTTGCCCTCGCTCTCGTCAGTACATCCTCCGCACACCCCGCCCCTCCTCATGCCACGTGACCACTCGTGCAGGCACCTCCACTCTCCCCCCTCCCCTCCCTCTAGAGCCACCTTCCTCCAACTCCACCTCCTCCCCATGCTCTTGTCGCGCACTGTCCCACCCCGCTGTTCTCATCCACCACCGCCTTGGTCATATGAACTTTCCCACACTTCGTAAAGCCGTCTCCTCCCGCTTGCTTGATGGTCTTCCCCCCACTCTTCCTCCCCTCCCGTCCTCTTCCGCTCCCCCATGCGCCACATGCATTCATGGAAAGCTCAAACAACAGCCTCACCTCAGTCATCCTTCCTTTGCTGCTGCCCCCCTTGACCTCGTCCACATGGACCTCTGGGGCCCTAACCCTTCCCCTTCCCGCCAAGGGCACCGGTACCTGCTTGTCCTAGTCGACGACCACAGCAGGTACTCCTCGGTGTTCCTCCTCCACACGAAGGCCGAGGCCCCTGCTGTCATCGTTACGTGGGCCGAGCAGTGCCGAGTCCACTTTGGTCGCCCCATCCGCCGCCTCCATTCCGACGGCGGTGGTGAGTTTCTCAACCGCACCCTCTCCTCCTACTGCTCAACCCATGGCATCCAGCAGACTCATACCCTTCCCCACTCCCCTCAGCAGAACGGTGTTGCTGAGAGTCGCATTCGTGAGATCACCAAGACGGCCCGCTGCCTCCTCACTCATGCCTCCACGCCCCCTTCTCTTTGGGGCTATGCCCTTGTCCATGCTGCTCTCCTTACTAATCTTTACCCACATCCTCAACGCCAGTCTGTCACTCCCACTGAGCTCTGGGCTAGCACCAAGCCAGATGCTGCCATTCTCCGTATCTGGGGTTGCAAGGCATATGTCCTCATCCCCCCACCTGACCGCTCTCGGCAGGCAGGAAAGCTCGCCTCCAAGGCCATTGAGTGTGTCTACCTTGGCCACGCTCGCTCTGCCCCTGGTTACCTCTTCCTTCACCCGTCCTCAGGCCGCCTCCTACAGAGCCGTGACGTGGTGTTCGATGAGAGCATCCCGTTCTATCATTCTGTTCCGCCTTCCGACCCCCTTCCTCCTCTCTCCCGCCCCCTCACCTGGGCTGATGCTGTCATTCCCCCACTCCTTCCCCAGGCTCCCCTCCTTCCTCCAAATCCTGCTCCTCCCCCTCCTCCTTCCTCAGGTGACATTTACGACCCAGCTGTCCCTGACTCCCCTGCTCACTCTGCCTCATCGCACCAGCAGCAGCAGCAGCAGCAGCAGCAGAAGGAGCAGCAGCAGCAGCAGCAACAGCATCAGCAGCAGGTGCAGCAGCAGCAGCGGATGGAGCAGCAGCAGCAGCAGCAGCAGCAGCAGCAGCAGCAGCAGGAGGTGCAGCAGCGGATGGAGCAGCAGCAGCAGCAGCAGCAGCAACCGCAGGCAGTGCAGCAACATCAGCCGCAGCAGGAGGTGCAGCAGCAGCACCAGCAGCAGCCACAGCAGCAGCAGCAGCAGCCACTGCAGCAACCTCATCGGCATCGCCGCACCACCTCTCCGTTCATCCTCCCACGCATCCACACTCGCTCTCACGGCCCACTCATAGGCCATCCATGGGGTTGGCCAACACCACCCCCACCCTCCTTTCCCTTCATTGAGGACTCCCATGAGGAGCTCATTGGCGTTCAGCAACAAACACCTTCCCTCACGCCTCTCTACCCGGGCTTCCTTGGCCTCCTCATCCTTGGCATCGCTACCGCTCCCACCAGATTCACTCCGTCCAACTTCCTTGAGGCCATCACCTGCCCCGATGCTGCCAAGTGGATCCAGGCTATCTTTGCTGAATGTGAGGCCTTCATCCGCAATGCCTCATTCGTTAACATTGTCCCCTCTCCTGACGACGTCATTGTTGAAGGCCTCTGGGTGTTCCGAGTGAAGCAGCTGCCGGGTGAGGAGCCGGTCTACAAGGCCCGGTATTGTGCCAAGGGCTTCACCCAGACCCATGGCATCGACTACTGGGAGATATTCTCTCCCACTGCCAATCTCCCAACTCTCCGTGCCATCCTCGACTATGCTGTTCGCATTGGCATGGAGATTGCCTCCATGGATGTCTCCAACGCCTTCCTGCAAGGCGAGCTCCAGGAGCGGGTCCTCTTGCGGCGGCCTCCAGGCTTTCATGCAGCCTTCCCTGCCAACACAGTCTGGGAGCTGCGCCGCCCGGTTTATGGCCTCAAGCAGGCTCCTCGCGAGTGGCACAACAAACTGGCCGCCACTCTGCAGTCCTTGGGGTTCCATGCCTCTCAGTCTGATGCCAGCCTTTTCCTTCGCTCCTCTCCCACCCGCTTCTTCATCCTGGTGTATGTCGACGACATGATCCTGTTCGCTGACGATGCTGCCGCCATGCAGCAAGTGAAGGACGCCCTGCATGCACGCCTCAAGTGCAAGGACCTGGGTGAGCTCAAGCACTATCTGGGCATGACCATTACCCGGGACCGCACATCGCGCACCATTACCCTCTCTCAGTCCTTCTACATCGACCAAGTCTTGCAGCGGTTCGACATGGCGCAGGCGAAGCCGGTTACCACTCCCCTGCAGACCGACCACCAGCTTGCCCCTCCTCCTGCTCCCTCCTCCTCTGACCATCCTTACGCTGAGCTCGTCGGCTCGCTGATGTACGCTATGATGTGCACCCGCCCCGACCTTGCCTACCCCATCAGTGTTCTTGCTCGATTCGTCGGTACCGGTCGCCACACTGATGAGCACTGGGCTGCAGCGAAGCGGGTCCTCCGCTACCTCCGTGGTACCAAGGACTATGTCCTCACCCTCGGAGGCTCTTCTCCTCCCCTCCTCTCTGGCTTCAGTGACTCCTCCTGGGCTGACTCCCAGCCGGATCGCCGTTCCTCTCAAGGCTACGGCTTCACCCTTGGCAGCGGCCTCATCAGCTGGCGCTCCACTCGCTCCTCCTCCATCGCCCTCTCATCCTGCGAGGCTGAGCTCTATGCTTGCACCATGGCCGCTCAGGAGGCTCGCTGGCTCACCTTCCTCCTTGCTGAGATCGGTGCTCCTCAGCGCTGTCCCACCCTCTGGTGCGACAACGCCAGCACCATCCATCTCACAAAGGACCCTGTCTTCCATGGCCGCTCCAAGCACATTGAACTCCGCTACTTCTTCGTTCGAGAGTTGGTCCAGCAAGGTCACTTGGTGGTCCGCAAGATCGCTGCAGAGGCCAACTTGGCCGACATCTTCACCAAGGCCCTCCCGAAGACCGCGCACTCTGCCCTCCTCCGCCTTCTCGGCCTTGGGCCCCGCCCCCCTTCCTGATTCTGGGGTTGTACCCTACATATACACTAGCTTTGCATGCTATGGGGTTGTGTTAGAATATACCATGCTATGCTAGTTGTGTATATTGTGTTTACATCCCTAGTTGGGTGTACACCTGTGTTGGGGTGTCAATCCAACCCAATTGTGGTTGGTGCCCCCAAACACAAGGACCACAATTGTGGGGGCACCACAAGTGGGTTGGCTAAACCACTGGTGGTACACCTCACTTGGACCACCTCCAACTGGTGGTCAACCACATTTGGAAGGATCCTCCCTCCCTTGTGATTGGTCCTAACCCCCCTTTCCCTTCCAACCTTCCCTTCCTAGCTCATCTCTCTCTTCCTATGTAATGCCTTTCCTTCATCAATAAACTCAACCTTTCTGTTTCTAACAGCTTCAACCTGTGTACCTGCTCTTGCTTGACGCGAGACGTTCGTGGAGGCGATTTGGCGAGGGAGTTCGCCTATTCTGGCGGGGTCTGAGGGGAAACTCGAGAACGAGATTTAAGAGATGGTCGAAATTGAGATTCGACCAAGGAGAACCGAGGAGAAAATCGACGATGAGAAGCGTGAAAGCTTCAGAGATGAGAAATTCAACGAGGTCGAGCGCGAAGGCGGTCGACAATGAGAGGCGCGACTGCAGAGTGGAGGACGTCGAAATTCCGACGACTCGAAACGAATGTCGCGACGATGAAGTGCGCGTAGCGCGGGCACGTTGAGATTAGGACCTTGATCCGCGTGTGCAGATAGGTCGCTCTGATACCATGTAAGAAATAGAGTTGAAATGATTGATTAGGTAAGGAGCCCAAGGCTCTATAAGTACATGGCAAGGTGTGAGAGAATGGATGAAGGAGGAATTGGAGGGAATCCCCATTGGGATCTCCGGAATCTCCAATTGGGTAATTGGAGATTGTGGGGATCATAATTGGGTGAGGTTGGGATTTGTGAGAACATCCCAACCCACTAGAACATTCACAACCTAAACTAAGAAATAAAAGTACAAATACAAAAGTGGTATTTGCAGTCTATTTCTAACACTTGGAACATGCTGGGGATGAGTATAGCAACTCCCACTGCAGTCTTGTTCAGGAAGCGGTCCTCGAGGTAGAGCCAAATGGCGTTGGCAGACGGGTAGTTGTGGTAGGTTTCGACGAGTTCGGGAGGAGTGGTGCCCATGAAGACACTAATGACCGCACCATCGGCCTTCTCCCAATTCTTGTACTTGAGCAGTGCAGCAGCATAAACTGCTTCGGCGGCGGCATTAGCTGGATCGGCGGACCTCTCGGGTTTAGGAGGCTCTTTGCCGTCACCGATGTTGACAAGGACGTCGGTGAGCTCGAGCCCCTTCACCTCGCGACTGAGGAGGTGCTTGTCGACACCATAGCGCCAAGCCTTGTAGTTGGAGCATGTACCGTCCGGCTCGAGACAAAGGAGCGGGATCGGGTTGGCGAGTGAAGTAGTTGAGTAAGCCATTGTCGGTGTGCAGCGCGGCACTTCTGGAAATTGGTTGACGAGAATTGCTGAAAATCACTCTGACGGCTGTATCAAAATGCCGCTAAGTAGGAAATGGCGTCGGCGAAAATTCGTTAAAACGCCGACTTGAAACCGAATCTGAGCCTATGTCTAACCCCGGACCCACACACCCCCCAACACACCCCCAGGCCCTGTCCCGCAACTACACAGCTCCGCAACCAGCTCCGCAACCAGCTCCGCAACCAGCTCCGCAACCAGCTCCGCAACCAGCTCCGCTCGGCTTCAACCTGTGTACATGCTCTTGCTAAACGCGAGACGTTCGTGGAGGCGATTTGGCGAGGGGAGTTCGCCTATTCTGGCGGGGTCTGAGCGGAAACTCGAGAACGGGTTTTAAGAGATGGTCGAAATTGAGATTCGACCAAGGAGAACCGAGGAGGAAATCGACGACGAGAAGCGTGAACGCTTCAGAGATGAGAAATTCAACGAGGTCGAGCGCGAAGGCGGTCGACGATGAGAGGCGCGACTGCAGAGTGGAGCACGTCGAAATTCCGACGACTCACAACGAATGTCGCGACGATAAAGTGCTCGTAGCGCGGGCACGATCAGATTAGGACCTTGATCCGCGTGTGCGGATAGGTCGCTCTGATACCATGTAAGAAATAGAGTTGAAATAATTGATTAGCTAAGGAGCCCAAGGCTCTATAAGTACATGGCAATGTGAGAGTGAAAGGATGAAGGGGGAATTGGAGGGAATCCTTTTTGGGATCTCCGGAATCTCCAATTGGGTAATTGGAAATTGGGGGGATCATAATTGGGTGAGGTTGGGATTTGTGAGTACACCCCAACCCACTAGAACATTTATAACATTTTTCTTGAAGCAGGAGGCAAGGGCGTGGTTGGTGCCGCCACACACCTGGCCGGCACGAGGGCCGCGCTTGATGACATAGGGATACGGGGGGAAGCGGTTGCGCTGGAATGGCGCCGAAACGGCATAGGCTTGAGGCACGGGAGCGCGGATTGCATTGGCCTTGGCTTGAGCGCTGTTGTCCTTTTCGGTAGAAAGGAGCGTGGATGAGACCTTGGCAAATGTGAGGTCTGCAGGAGCAAGGCCCAAGAGCATCTTGCGTGTGACTTCGTATGCCGGAGTGAGGCCGACTAGGAGAGCGGCTGCAGGGGCTTGCTCGGGGAAGACTATCCCCAACTGTTTGAGTTCACCATGAATGGACTGCACCTTGGTGACATAGTCCGCCATGCCTGGCGAGTCCTGGAGCCGCACTTGGAACATGCTGGGGATGAGTATAGCAACTCCCACTGCAGTCTTGTTCAGGAAGCGATCTTCGAGGTAGAGCCAAATGGCGTTGGCAGACGGGTAGTTGTGGTAGGTTTTAACGAGTTCCGGAGGAGTGGTGCCCATGAAGACACTAATGACCGCACCATCGGCCTTCTCCCAATTCTTGTACTTGAGCAGTGCAGCAGCATAAACTGCTTCGGCGGCGGCATTAGCTGGATCGGCGGACCTCTCGGGTTTAGGAGGCTCTTTGCCGTCACCGATATTGACAAGGACGTCGGTGAGCTCGAGCCCCTTCACCTCGCGACTGAGGAGGTGCTTGTCGACACCATAGCGCCAAGCCTTGTAGTTGAAGCATGTGCCGTCCGGCTCAAGACGAAGGAGCGGGATCGGGTTGGCGAGTAAAGTGGTTGAGTAAGCCATTGTCGGTGTGCAGCGCGGCACTTCTGGAAATTGGTCGACGAGAATTGCTGAAAATCACTCTGACGGCTTTATCAAAATGCCGCTAAGTAGGAAATGGCGTCGGCGAAAATTCGTTAAAACGCCGACTTGAAACTGAATCTGAGCCTCTGTCTAACCCCGGACCCACACACCCCCCCACACACCCCCAGGCCTTGTCCCACAGCTACACAGCTCCGCAACCAGCTCCGCAACCAGCTCCGCTCCGCTTCAACCTGTGTACCTGCTCTTGATTTGACGCGAGACGTTCGTGGAGGCGATTTCGCGAGGGGAGTTCGCCTATTCTGGCGGGGTCTGAGGGGAAACTCGAGAACGAGTTTTAAGAGATGGTCGAAATTGAGATTCGACCAAGGAGAACCGAGGAGGAAATCGACGACGAGAAGCGTGAAAGCTTCAAAGATGAGAAATTCAACGAGGTCGAGCGCGAAGGCGGTCGACGATGAGAGGCGCGACTGCAGAGTGGAGCACGTCGAAATTCCGACGACTCGAAGCGAATGTCGCGACGATGAAGTGCTCGTAGCGCGGGCACGTTTAGATTAGGACCTTGATCCGCGTGTGCGGATAGGTCGCTCTGATATCATGTAAGAAATAGAGTTGAAATGATTGATTAGGTAAGGAGCCCAAGGCTCTATAAGTACATGGCAAGGTGAGAGTGAATGGATGAAGGGGGAATTGGAGGGAATCCCCATTGGGATCTCCGAAATCTCCAATTGGGTAATTGGAGATTGGGGGGATCACAATTGGGTGAGGTTGGGATTTGTGAGTACACCCCAACCCACTAGAACATTCATAACGTAAACTAGGATATAAAAGTACAAATACAAATGTGGTATTTGCAGTTTATTTCTAACACCACATAGAGTTTTCGTCCTTGCAAGCTGCGCAGAGGAGTTGCTGTATAATTTGGTTGAGACCCTCGGTCTATCCATCTGTCTATGTATGGTAAATGGAGGGCATGGCGAGTTTCGTTCTGAGAACTTGGGGTCTCGGTTAGAGATGAGTGTGGTTGGAATGCCATGCTGTGAGATAATGTAGTGAACGAACGGTTGTGCTGTCTCCTGAGTGCGTGCAGATGTGTGTGTCAGGATGAAGTGTCCGATTTTAGAGAATTTGTCGATGACAATGAGAATTGTGCCATGACTGCTTGTGGAATTTTGTAACCCGGTTATGAAGTCTAGGCTAACCTTTTGTCATGGATGTTCTGG